ATGCTCCGCAAGAACAATGCTGACCCTCAAGGTTGAGCGCACACGACACCTCACATGAGAGGACTCTCAAGAAGAACTCACAACCTCACGGTAAGAAGTGATGAAGAGGGTAGATAAGGTTAAGAGCAACGTACCTCATTATAGCTGCCCCCAACCACAAATATTCTCACCAAATGACCTGATGGCGATTGCGATGACCAGTCACTGCATCGGCATAACCAGCATTATCTTGTCGTTCCACCTCAGCATCAATCAACCACCAGATAGTTCTCATCACACTGCGAACACCCAATATACACACCGTAGCCTTCCTGGCGATTCCCCTCTCCTCTTGGGTAGCCAACACCTTGTCTCTGCCCTCCTCACTACACACCACCTACGGCCAGTCTCACCAAGCAGACCGCATGTATGTACCGCATAGGCAGAAGACAAGCGCCAGATGAGCGCAACGCACCACAACACCGATACCAAATTGCAAGGAAGATGAGCGATAGCGAACTTAAGAAATCAAACAGCATCATACACATAAAACCAGATAGTCGTGACCTCGCACCCCAACAACAAAATTACATAACGAGTTTCACCAAATAAGAACACACTAAGAGCTTATAATTGACAGTGCTGGAATAGTCTCATCACCATCCTCAACGAAGAACCAATGTTGATATCCTATCTGGCGCTCGGCACCCAGACTACAGATGGCAGATCCTATCTAGCCTAGATTACAATGCCGAAGATGACAATAACAGCTCTCCTGAAGTACGAGCAGGTAGCGGTCAATGCCGCACGCTTCCCGCACCAGGTATATCCCTCTCTTTACTCACAACCTCGTTCCCCAACACACAGATTCCACATGCACCCATGGACCACCCTGCGCCACACCCAGCTCACAGCAGCACAACTCGACTATGGCTGCCTGCTCCTTCCTAGCTCGCCCGCGAGCGCGTGAGCGCTGGCCAGCTTTAGCGCCGCAGCGCTTGCACAACATGCAACCAACACCCGAATGTCCAATGCGGAAGTAGGCCCTTTGCTATATGGAAGTGGCCTGCCTGCGTTCTGTCCCAGGCAGCGCTGGACCTTTCCCCAAGAAGATTCCGGTAGGCCCCGGTAGATTGAGGCCCAGACCAAATGAATTGGCCCAGGGCTGTTGACAGTTACCTGTGCCCAATTGCCCGCAACCTGAGTTGGGCCTATGCTGCGAATCTCGCCCAGGGCCTGACTCAGATGCATTTGATAAAGGAAACCAGGGCCTGGGCGCTTCCAACCAACTGGCGCAGCGCAACTGCCTGAATTTTCCGCAGTTGCGAAGTAGTCCAAAATAGGCCTCTGAGGGTCTGTCGGACCTGCCTTCACTGAGGGCGGCCGACGCTGTTGCAAATAGGGCCCAGTGGGGCTTATCGAGGCCTTGTGCCTTGCACTGATTTATTTTATTTTATTTTTATTTATTTTGAAAATTCGAATTTCTTTGCTGCACCCTTAAATCTGATTAGGAGTTGGTCATTCTTACTTTCGGCACACATTTTGACCCCGTGGGGGTAACGAAGTGCTGCCAAAATTTTCTGTTTTTCTTTCACTTAGTATTTTTCAGCACAGTTTGACCCCTTGGGGGTAGCGCAGTGCTGACAAAATCTCCTCATTTTACTTAGCCTTTCTTCTTGACGGCACACTTCGGTCCCATGGGGGTAACGAAATGCTGCCAAAATTTTTGAAAATCAGATAGTTCATTTCTCTCCACCTCCTCATCTACTTATTTATTTATTTATTTATTTTCTGAATTTTTTTTAATTAGCGGTATTTTGAAACCAAGTGTGCTTATCTTGGTCCCTGCTTTCCCTTGGCACATTCTTGACCCCAAGGGGGGTTAGGGAAATGTTGCCGAAAATTCTAAAACAATAAATATTACTTCTCTCTTCACATTTTGTTTCCTTATTTCTTTAATTATTTTTATTATTTATTTATTTCCTTATTTATTTTTATTTTTCTCTCGAAATTTCGCTGTTTATTTATTTTACCTCCCGCCTTCCCCCCCAATGCTTGCTATTTTATTTTCTTGATTAGGTCGTCGGTACCCTACCCTAACCATTCAAACTCCGGTTAGGGTCTTCTTAGGGTTTTTCTACGGTTTAGGGTTTCCTAACCCCCCTACTTTCCCTTCTCATTCGCCCACCCTGGATCCAAACCACCCCTCCCCCTTTGGCAGCGCCCGTGCTCGATTTACTAGCGCCGCCCGTCGCCTTATATCGCAGACCTCCCCCTATACCCTCCGCTCACGCGGACCTTCTCCGGCCCTCTCTAGTTTGACCCGTTACCTCCCCATGGCCGACGGCGTGTCAGAAGCCGCCGAGGCGGCGACGACCTCGGCATCGGGCTCCACACCCGTGCCGACGGACCAGAGCCATCAGCCCCAGGGGGATCTGCACACCCTCATCACCTCCCTCCTTGCGCCCCTACAGCCGTAGATGTGCGACTCTTGCCGCTGGCCTGCGGCAACTCCAGGACACTAGCCGCCCTTCCTCTCCCCTTTCTCTCTCTTCTCCTGGCTCCCAGTCCGGGTCCCCCGTCCTTCGACATGGTGGCCACGGCGGAGCTTCCTCCTCTGCCACCCCCGACCCGACCATCCTGGTGACCGTCCACACTCCTAGTGCGACGGCCGCCACGGGCCAGACCCTCGCTCACTCTACGGGCGCACCCGCCCAGATTCCGGTTACTACGGCCACGGGACCACAACCCGCTGCTGTGGGCTTAACTTTTCTAGGTGCCCCGCTTCTCCCTCCCCTTCGCACGACCGTGGCACCACCTGGCTCTCCCCCCTGTGGGATGCCCCACGCCGCTCGTGCGTCCACGTCCCCCACTCTTCCTCCTGCCACTCCTCGCTCAATCTACGTTCGACGTCTCGAGGACGAGCTTGCCCAGACCCAGGCCGACCTCTCCCTCTTACGCCTTCAACCACCCCTACCCTCACAGGTGGCCGCGCCTTCAGGCGCACCCGCTTCTTCCTCTACTCTTCCATTCTTGTTGGCTCGCTTCCCCTGCCCCGCACCCCCTCCACCCCCATCCTACCTCCTTCCTACTCCCTCGGCTGCTGCGACCTCTTCGACCGCATCTCCCTCACAGCCTGCCGCTGTTCCCCCCGCCGTTCCACCATGCGGCCCGGGCGGACAGTCAGCTGCACCCCCTTCTCCAGGACTTGCGCCGACTTACTCGGCCGTAGCGCAGGCCTCTGCTCCCCGCTCTCCTCGCCGCCAAAATTGTGGCGCACCATTCGTCCGCTTGATGAACATTGCCTTGTATGACGGTACAGGCATATGATTATCTCGGTGGCGACAGTCTGCCACCCGCACACTCCAGCTCATGGGCACCCCACCCAACACGTGGGTGACTCACCTCTCCACACGCCTACGTGGTGGTCCTTTCGACGCCTGGGAGGATTTATATGCTTACTCCATTCGTGCGGGTTGGACTCCGACCTTCATGGATTTCCAGGCGTTCCTCGATGATCGCTTCGGAGCCCGACATGACGTGACTGACGCCTTCGAGCGTGTCGTTACTACACGTTGGTCCGACTCTGGTGGCGTTGCCGGCGTGGATCGCCACATCTTGGTCTTTCAGGACGCCCGCCTCATTCGTGATGTGGCGTTCCTCCCCGAGGCTGCCCTTATCGATTGTTTCTTGGCCAGCCTTCCCCTCGAGTACCACTCTGAGTTATGGCGGTACGAGTTCACATCGGCCCCGCAAGCTTACGAGGCCGCTAGGGACCATCAGCGGATGCGGGCCCGTCTTCAACACACTTCCTCCTCCCAGCCTCAGCGTACTGGTTAGCCCCCTCCTCCTCTCATGACACTTCCCAGCGCCGTTCCCCTTTCCTCGGTCGCCCCCGCCGTTCCGCGCAGCAGGGCCGCCTTTTCTCATGCTGCTTCAACGCGCTTGAGTATGGTGAGCAGGACGTTGTTGCCCCGCTGTCGCCTGAGGGTGACCATAGCGACGACCTTGACCTCGACCTCGGCGAGGCCGTCCACTACCACCTGGAGGACTCTACTCTCCCTATGGCCGAGCGCCTCCAGCTCATCCTCTCCACCCTCTACCGGGCACGCAACCGCCCTGGTCAAGCTGGCGCGTCGCCCCCCGAGGTCCCTCAACAGAACCTCTCTTAGGGCTTTGTCCCTCCTCGCGATGTCCTTTCCGTTGAGGAGCGCGCGGCCATTTTGGGCCGGCGTGTGTGTTTGCGCTGCCGCCAGGACGGTCATACCTCCTCGCGGTGCCCTTACACCACCACCCTCGACCACCACTACGCTGACCTTTCCCGCCAGCGTCGTGCTTAGTCTCCCCCCGTCGCCTCGCATCCTCGCGGCGCCTCCTAGCCACAGTGCAGTGTACAACTGCACCCTCCTCAGTAGTCAGCTTCCCGACATCCCCGTCGAGGTTTGCCCCTCTCGCTACTGGAGTTGAGGTATCGCAGGACCCGACAGAGTGTACTCAGGTCTCTGTCGCAGTACCGTCTGCGCCTCCGCAGACCATCGTCTCCCCTCCTATCCCGCCTCGACTACCGACGTGTCGAGCCATTCGCTCAGCCCGTTGCAGCGAGCAGCTTTCGACTCGCGAGAACGTTGTGTCCTCTATTCTGGACTTGAGCATGCTCCAGGCTCGTCAGGAGCAACTCACCCTTCATGTCGTTGCACTGCGTCGCCTTCTCACCATCCTCTCTGACCCTGATCACACCCTCCCGATCATTCCAGCACGACTGGGGACCTCCACGAGGGTGTACTCAACGTTGTGGGATTCCGGTTCTCAGGGTGACTTCATTCACCCACGTGTGGTGAAAGAAGCCCGCTTACCCACGACACGGTCTCCGACTCCCATCTCCATCACCCTAGGGGATAACAAGAGCCAACGCTTCTTCGATCAAACGGTCACCGACCTCCCTTTCTTCCTCACTCTCGAGCCGACTAATTGTCCCCCGGCGTCTCGTCACCACCGCTCCTCTGCACATTTCGATGTGATGGAGACGGGGTACGACTTCATTCTCGGTACTCCGTGGTCTTGTCGTTTCCGCAGCACCGAGGACGATTGGGCGACCAACACTCTCAGTCTCAAAACGAAGTGTGGACAGACGTAGCACGTACCTTTCATAGGTACCACCGCGACACCACGCCCCGATCCTCCTCCCCCAGAGTCTTCCGTGCCCACACCATCTCCTACGATCACTATCACCTCACCTCGACAGTTCGCTCACTTCATCCGACAGGATGACGTCACCTTCTTTATGGTGAACGTGACGGATCTCTTACACTATGATCCACCCTGTCCCAAAGCCGAACTCATCCCTCTCGAGCCAGATCCTCCTTCTATCTTCATGGCTCCCATCTCTACTTCCCACCCTCCGCCGTCCGTCGAGTTCACCCCGTCGTCATGCGCCGATGCTGACGCTGAGGAACTCGCACGCTATACGGCCGACCTGGAGCCCGTAGTTCGTGACCTCATTCGAGAGTACCACGATGTTTTCCCATCGTCGTTCTCGTACGCCTGCATCCCACCGATGCGGAACGTCAAACACTCCATTCAGCTCGTGCCTGACTATCGTGTTCACCACCAGGCACCCTACAGACTCTCGATCCCTGAGGTCACCGAACTCAACCGTTAGCTTGAGGAACTCCTGAGACTGGGTTTCATTAAACCCAGCAACTCCCCGTGGGGTGCACCCGTCCTCTTTGCTCGCAAAGCAGATGAAACTCTCCGTCTCTGCATCGATTATCGCGGTCTCAACCGCTGCACGGTTAAGAACAACTACCCCATGCCTCGTTCCAACGAGCTGTTCGACCACATAGCAGGCAACCGCTTCTTTACGAAGATTAATCTTCGTAGCGGTTACCATCAGATCCGCGTCGTTGCAGCGGACCAGCGGAAGACAACGTTCCGATCACGCTTCGGCCACTATGAGTTTACGGTGATACCATTTGGCCTCACCAACGCACCCGCTATCTTTCAGAGGGCAATGAACGGCATCTTCAGGGGCATCCTGGAGCAGTACGTTCTCGTCTACCTCGACGATATCCTGGTCTACAGTCGTACCCTTGAGGAACATCTCAGACACTTCCGCGACGTCCTTGACCGCTTGTGCAAACATGACTTCTACGCCAAGCCGAGCAAGTGTCGCTTTGCACAACACAAAGTGAATTTCTTAGAACACTACGTGTCTGACTAGGGCCTCCACATGGACGACGCAAAGATCACTGCTATTGTGGAATGGTCCGTCCCCACATCCGCCAAGTAGCTTCACAACTTCTTAGGCCTTACCAGCTATTATAGTAATTTCATCTAGGGATACGCTATGTTTTCCTACGTCCTTACCTCCACCCTCCTCCGGAAGAACCCGCCATGGGCTTGGACACCCCTCCACGAGGACGCCTTCCGCGCCCTCGAGAAGGCAGTGACATGTGCACCGGTTCTTCACCTACCCGTTGATCGCCTTTTTATCCTTACCACCGATGCGTCAGACTTTGTTATAGGAGCAGTGCTTTCTCAAATTTTCCCCTCCTCTCCCAATTCCTCTCATCCTGGTATCCCTCTCTTCCCACCCCCTACCCCTACCACTGCTTCCCACATGACGCCTACTCGTCCAGCTACTGACAAGCCGCCTATTGACTATTCTCCTATCATCGTCGAGGACGACACTGTCGAGTCTCGCTCAGGTGATTGTCTGATAGCCTTCTACTCCCGTCAGCTCCTGCCCGCCGAGATAAACTGCACTGCTGATGAACATGAGGTTCTCGCAGTAGTTTATGCCGCTTGACACTGGCGTCACTACCTGCACAGGACACCATTCACGGTGCGCATAAACAACTCTGTTGTCCAGGCTTTTCTGACAAAGTCGAAACTCACTCCTCTACAGGCTCGCTGGTGGCACGACCTATCTGAGTTTAGTTTCACAAGGGTGAGACTAATCGGGTAGCAGATGCCTTATCCCGGCGCCCTGATGCGCACAAACAACTCTGTTGTCAAGGCTTTTCTGACAAAGTCGAAGCTCTCTCCACGATAGGCTCGCTCGTGGCGCGACCTATCTGAGTTTAGTTTCACCACTGAGCACATTAAGGGTGAGACTAATCGGGTCGCAGATGCCTTATCCCGGCGCCCTGACCAAGATCAGGTGCAGATCCAGTTCGCTTCCATGTTGGTCACCACCGGCCACCACTCGGTGATCGACAAGTTTCGCACTCAGTACCGTCATTGCCCCGATACTCGCGACATTCATGCGACCCTTCGGAGTGGCAAGACCGTCCCGAACTACTCTCTCGAGGACAACGATCTTCTGTACTGGCACGGTTCACAAGGCACCATAGAGCCCCATATTCGTGTTCCCTCCACTGGACAGCTACGTGTCCGGGCAGTAGCAGAGTTCCATGACCAGGCAGCCACCGGTCATATGGGCTTCCAGAAGACGTTGGCTCGTGTGAGCCGCCTGTACATCTAGCCGAAGCGCAATGACTTTGTGAAGGACTACGTCGCAGAGTGTCCCACATGTCAGGAGGTGAACAGTGCGAACCACCTGGCTTATGGTTTGCTCCAGCCTCTTCCTATCCCTGAGGGTCGTTGGCAGTCCATCTCGATAGACTTTATCGGTCCTCTTCGTCCTCCGACTCCCCGCGATCATGCTATCCTGGTCGTCGTCGACCGCTTCACGAAGTGTGCATGCTTTGTTCCGTGCCGCTATGCCATCAGTGCACGTGAGGTTGCTGACATCGTGTTTGACCGAGTCGTGCGTGACCACGGCTTACCTCTGAGCATCATATCTGACCGTGACCCGCGCTTTACCAGCCGATTCTGGCGACGGCTCCACGAGGTCTACGGCACCCAGCTCCGCTTCTCCTCGTCTTACCATCCCCAGACTGATGGTCAGACCGAGGTCACGGACAGGACTCTCGGAGATATTGTCCGAAAGATTGTTCGTGATGACCAGTAGTAGGATCTTCATCTTGCCCGCGCGGAAATAACCTACAACCACGCCGTCTTGCCAGCCACGGGGATGTCTCCTTACTATTGCGACATCGACTATCACCCTCGTGTTCCCGCGGACTTCTTTCGACCGTCACATATGCACCTCAACACAAGTTATCCCGCGCTGGATGATTGGGTTGCACACATGACGTCGATCATGAAGACCGCACATGAGCACATAGCCGCTTCCCAGACTCGCATGGCAACACGTGCGAACCAATCGAGGATGGATCATTCATTCAAAGTCGGTGATAATGTGTTTATCGATGCCCGCCACTTATAGCTCGAAGTGGACACACTTCACAAGTTTGACGTCGCTTCTTTGACCCATGCCGCATCCTCCAGGCCGTCGGTTCTGATACGGTTTCTAGCCCGGTCAGCTTCCGTGTGAAGCTGCCCGACATCGCTTCTTTGGCCCATGCCGCATCTACCACGTCTCATTACTGCGTCACGTGCGCAGACCGTCTAAGTGTTTCGTTGGACGACCATACGAGCGCCCTCCACCCATCATGGTGGACGGGCACGAGGAGTTCCTCGTTTCAGACATCATTGGTCGTTGAGTCATCGATGACAACCCTCTATACGTCGAGTATCTCGTATGTTGGAAGGGTTACTCTGATGAGGAGGCCACCTTGGAGTCCCTCGAGCACTTGCAACACGCTCGCATGTTGGTGCGTGCCTATGATCGTGCTCGTCGTGCTGGGTTGACTGCTCCTCCTCAGCCCACCGACCCTCCTCCTTCTCCCTCGGCTGAGGAGACCGCTGAAGTCAAGCCTGCTCCATCTAAGGCAGACCTTCATCAGCAGCCGGATGCTTCCGAGCGTCCACAGCGCACTCGTCGTTGTCCTGCTCGATACGACGATTGACTCTGACTTATCTTCCCATATCTTTAACTTCTCAGTACTCCGTCCACTCCAGTTTTGCCACTTCAGCTCATTGACGTTGCGGCTCTTCCTCGACGGCATTCCGGACTTCTCATCATGAACGTCATAGGCAGCTTCATGGACTTCGTCACGATCAACTCTGCCTACTTCAGACGTCGTCACTCTCTTACCACCTTATCCAGTACAATACCCTAGTTGTGTCGCATGATGGTCTTCCTTCGCAGGGTTCCTCTGAGTTGGGCTCTCCCTTGGTATACGCATAGGCATCGAGACCGTAGTGTTGCCCTGGCTTCCCATCTTACGGATCCAACTCTGACTTCCCCCACCTTAGGAGTTATTTGCATGATTTCCTTACCCATCACTTTTTCTACCCTCTGTCGGCCCTCACGCCCTAGTTAGGCCGCCTCGCATGCTTCATCTAGGTGCACCCAGTATACTAGGCTCCCTTGTTCCCTTGCATGGTCGACCCTCCATAGCGGTCACCCCTTTAGTCGAGAAGTACCCACCCTGATGATCTATCTGTTAGGGTCATTGGTTTCGTTCGCTCCCAATTCCCTACCCTCATTAAGCCTGATGACATGTGTCCCCCTGTCATTATGGGTGGATGCCCTTAGGAGTTATCGACCCCTAGGCTGCATTCGCCACCCTCAGAGACCATCCCATCCTTTGGTTTGCGACACACTCCTCCTGTGACATGTGGTTGTCTTGTTGTTGCTTTGTTGCTCTCAGACTAAGGCTACTGCCTCTGACATTTTCAGGATTTAGTTGTTCTGCTTTTGATGTTCTTAAGACTTATACACTAGTCAGCTATTTCCAGACTGAGGCTTTTGCCTCCAACATTCTAGGATCTAGCTGTCATTACTTTCTGCTTTCCTAGGGCATTTACGCTAGTTGGTTGCTTCTGCTTTCGGTTAGGCTGTTAGCTGTGACATTGTTGTTTTTGTGACATTTTTTATCCTAGGTTGCATCGCATGGACTCAGCATGCAGCTTGCTCCGCATCCTAGCCTACTCAGGTTTTCTTTTTCTTTGGTAGAGTTCCGCTTCTTAGTGGAAGCGTGCTTGTATCTAGGCGATCCATCACAGGCCGAGGATCGTGTAGCGGACCTCTGGTTGGCCTGTGAGACTAGCCCCTTGGCCTGTTCTCACAGGCCTCTGTTGTATTCGGGGTAGTCCTGTCCATGCCGGTACCTCTGTCGGTACCAGCCAGTCCAGTCCAGTCCAGTCTGTCCGCTAGGGTATGCCCCAACTGTTGTCTGTTTGTGAGATCATTCTACGTTCGCACACTTTGGAGTACGTGCGTTGGAGTCTGGCGTGGGAGTTGCGCTGCGCTATCTCGCTCCCCATTTTTCCTCCATCTCCATCTCTATTCTAGGCGGAGCACCACACCTGGTGGGTCCGCCACAGTACCTATATTGGGTGTTCGCGTGGCCTGAGGGGCCTACACTTAGGGGTTTAATTAGGGTCGAGATTGAGAAAGGAGAGAAAACCCTGTTTTATTATTAAGTGCTTCTTAAAGATTTCTTAGTCGGACGTTGGTCCTGGGCCTGGATTCGAGGTCCTTTTCCAGGACATCCCAGGTCCTAGACTCTGCATGGAAGGGATCACCCCCCGCGCAGAGCCTATTTGCCCTGCCTACCGAGACACTCAGCCTGAAGGCCGGATGTGCTGCGGAGGCCGCAGGGCAATATCGTGAAGGGGTAAGCCTTCACGATACTTCGAGTCTGACACTTGAGTGTCATAAGCGATACTCGGATCCACGAGGGACCGCTTGATTATGTGCACTACATAGTACGCCATCATCACAATTGCTTACGTATTCATGCATTGCTAGTCGATATGAGTTAGTCCTGCGTCCGCGTGGTTTTATACTAAGTCTCGCGCACGACGTCTATCCGATTTCCCCGTTGGAGAGTTATGGGATGGCTACTAAGGGACTAGGAGTATTGTCGCGTTGCTTGTTCATTGTCGTTTTGTATAGTTATGTATATGTGTGTGTTTTACCCCCTATGCTACAGCGTACGAGAAGCGCCCTCGGCTA